AACCCAAGACTCGTAACGACCAGTATCACTCATCTCTGGAAGGATATTAGATTGTGAGTCGTTCTCTAATGATTTTCAAGAGTACAAGAAAAACGAAGGTAAAGAATAACTAATTAATTCATAATTTGTAATTTAATAAATTTATATGCCATCCAATCCCGGAGGACTTCGGGCGGTTTACAAATACAAAGATAAAACAAAAATAAAAAAATAGGGGAAAGACGAGAACAAATTTAAAAGAAACACACCATACACTCGACTTAGCTGGGGGCTGGACCTCATTCATGGGTCAACAGCCCCAGGCGTGCCGGAACAGCCAGGTTTTGGTGGCTTTTTGGAAGGCCGAGAGAGTGGGAAGGGTCTGGATCTCTGCGGGTAGATCGTTCCACAGGGCCGGAGCAGCTACAGAGAAGGCTCTCCCCCGAGGGGCCACCAGCCGGCATTGTCCAGTCGACGGCACCCAGAGGAGGCCCAGCCTGTGAGTTCTTATCGGCCGTTGGGAGGTATGTGGCAGGAGGCGGTCTCTCAGATATCCAGGTCCAAGGCCATGTAGGGCTTTAAAGGTGATAACCAGCACCGGGCCGAACCGGCTGAATACCACCTCTGGTGCCAGGCTTCCATGAATTCTCTGGTGGTTTTGAACTTGGCTTTCCTGTTGGAGCTGTAGTTAAGTCTCTCCATTTGTGGGTGCAATTAAGGAGCTTCAATCATGACTTTTAGTTGGTGTTCATAGATGCACTCTGCAAGTCTTCGGCACCTACTTGGTGGCGTTTGCTCCTGGGGTTTAGTTTGAACAGCTTTGGTTTGGAGTTTAGCTTTCACACGGTTCCCCAGGGAAGATTTGATTCTGTGAGTATCGACAGCGGATGTTAATTAGGCCTGGTTTTGCCTTTGATTGCCTTGTCTACGATGGTCTTTGGGGAAAGTTGGGTAGAGACTTAAGAGGGTGCCATAGTGAGTCCCCCCAATCAAGCTCTCATCTGGGGCTGATGGAAATCAAACCAGATTCCCATGTTCCTTCACCACATTTTTCGCTTTGGAAGATTCCTAATTAACTTTCTTTCTCAGTGGCTCTATAGTTGTCATTCCAGTCCGCTGATTTGAAGCGGCACTGAGCTGGAGCTGGTAGAGCAAGAAACCATGATTTAAATAACTGCGCCTGATGCCACAGATAAGATAAAGCAGCACTCAAAAAGTGAATCACCCAGGTAAAAGAAAGCCCAGAAGGAAATGAAAAAAACGAAGAGCGAAATTGATAAAGAAGAGGGATTAGTTCCAAGTTTCATATTTTGGAAGCTTTGGGGGGAAAATGATAGTGATAAAAAGTAGCGGTAAGCATTCGTCTTTCTAGGCTTGGAGAAAAATAAATTTCCTTGGTACATTTTTGCTTTTTGTAACCCCGCGTTTTGTGAGTGAAACAAAAAATATGTTTGCAAATGGTAAAGGGAAAAATCCAGTCCACGCAGCTAATATAAACATTCTCTGCTTCATATATTCAAGTTCATCCCCCTGAGATGTCAGCAAATGTCTTTCTTTCTTTCTTAGATTTTTATCCTGCCTTCATTATTTTATAAGTAAGTCGAGGCAGCAAACATACCCAATACTCCTTCCTCCTCCTGTTTTCCCACAACGACACTGTGAGGTGGGTTGGGCTGAGAGAGGGGAAATGGCCAAAAGTCACCCAGCCAGCTATCATGCCTAAGGTGGGACTACACTCTCCATCTTCGGGTGATTAGCCCAAAGTCATCCATCTGGTTTTCATACGTAAGATGACTAAGGACTAGAACTTTCTGTCCCCTGGGCCTTTGGTGGGACTAGAACTTTCTGTCTCTTGGTGATTGGGCCAAAGTCACCCAAACTTCTTTCATGTCTTTGGTGGGACTCTCTGTCTCCTGGGCCTTTGGTGTAACTAGAACTTTCTGTCTCCTGGTGATTGGGCCAAAGTCTTTCAGTTGGCTTTCATGCCTTTGGTGGGACTAGAATTCTGGATTTCTTGCTGATTGACCTAAAGTCACCCAACCTTCTTTCATGCCTAAGGTGGGACTAGAACTCCCTATCTCCTGGTGATTGGCACAAAGTCCACCCAGCCTTCTTTCATGCCTAAGGTGGGACTAGAACTCCCTATCTCCTGGTGATTGGCCCAAAGTCCATCCAGCCTTCTTTCATGACTAAGGTGGGACTAGAACTCCCTATCTCCTGGTGATTGGCCCAAAGTCCACCCAGCCTTCTTTCATGCCTAAGGTGGGACTAGAACTCCCTATCTCCTGGTGATTGGCCCAAAGTCCACCCAGCCTTCTTTCATGCCTAAGGTGGGACTAGAACTCCCTATCT